TGTATTTTAAAATAAGATGTTATCCTCTATTTGATTATGTTTATCCGCAGTTAGTTACACGAATTCAAACACAAAGCTTTAATAAATTGTACTTATGAATAATTTACTTGTAATTTTGGATTCTTCATGTATAAAAAATGAGTTTTAAGAGTTTTTTTCAAATGTTTTATAATATAGTATAGATAACATAATAGTTTTAAATATGTGATTTCGTTGTAAATTAATTATATTTATTAAATAAAAAATGATATGAACGAAGGGAGCGATTTTATGTAGTTATTAATTATTGATTATTATTATATAGAGATGGTTAAAATCACATGTTGATTTTCTCAATCTCATATTAAAAAAAAAAAAAAAAGACAGAAACTGGATTCGAACAAGTTTAATCTTAATTTGTTGTTTGTTTATTCATGCACCCTTAATATGTTTATCGATGTTGATCGTCATGGTGCCCAAATGCATAAGGACATTAGGCACAAATGTGCATAAACCATTGTCGAAGGCCCGTTTAGGAACATTAGTTTCCCTAACAGATCCCGGTTACAACTGCTTAGTAGTTCTCCTAGCAGATCTCGGTTATAACTGCTTAGCGTCTAGGAGCTGCCTACACTTTAAGCAGGGGGGGAGGCCCCCAATCAAAACCCCATGTAATCATGCATGGAGCCACTTGTGATTCTATACACAATCACATGTGATTGTGTATATTTTGGCATTCTTGTTGTATAGTATATCCTAAATAGATTACATGTGATTGCATATGTGATATCTTATATAGAACCAATTTTGATATTATAAAAAATTCACATGTGATTATGTACATAATCATTGTATTATTATATGTACCTTCTACATAATCACAAGTGATTATGGGAAATGTATATTGGAGCAAAATGTGGCTGTGTACATAATCATTAGAATGATATAATTCACATTCATGAACTGATGTTGTGTGTTTGTGTACATGATTATACGCGATTGTATACACTGATATCAACATTATTATCAGATCATGTATGTACATCGTCACTGCAAATACATAACAATTAACACATGGTTACAACAACAGTTGAAAATTATATCAATATGAGTTTCAAGTTAAAGAGAGAAACCTGTTGTTTATATACTTTGTTTAGTTCCAATTTTTATCTGTTTTTAAATATATTAGTTTTAAAAATAATCTTTAATTATTTTTAAACATTACCCAAGTCCAAGTCCATGAGTGTTGTGTAAATTACAACGATACCCTTATCATATCCAACGAATGATCCAGATCTTTTCCCGCATCTCTTATTTTACCCCTGTCACGACAAACCCGCATACACACAAACACACAAGATGCAAGTCATTATCTCGACAATTTCTTCTTTTTTGTATCATTAATTAATCAAATCCCATAAGCTAATTTTCTCAGTTCCCGATACTAAAAGTATATTTTACGAGTTTGAGCAAGTTAGTTGACGTGTAACATCAATCGAATCGTGAAGTTACCGTAATTCGTTCAAGGATTCTTGTTGTATATAAAAATACAAATATCACAAATCACAAATCAACCCTTTTCTCTTCAATTTTGAGATGCTTTGATGTAGACCAAGAACAAGAATCACAATAACATATGATGACAAATAGACAATACCCTAAAATGTGCATTTATTTATGTCTTCTAGAAGCCTTAATTTGGATTGTATACATCATGAAGAAAAAGACATTAACTATGACAAAAATGGTATGTTTAGACCCTCATATAACTGTTTTAATAAAATACTTAAGGGGGTGTTTGAGATTGCTTATCTTATTGATTTATTGTGATGTGACATCGGTAATAAGCACTTTTGAGTGTTTGGATAAACAACTTATACCGGTGTCAAACCGGTAATAAGAAGTTTTTGAAGAAGTTAAACCTTTCTGACTTATGATAAATTGATAAGTGCTTTTATAGAAAAAAAAATAAGTTGTTTCAAATAAGCAATCTCAGACACCCCCTTAATTAAACTTTTAAGTTATTTAACCAACGACTGTAAAATTGTTGGTTTAATATATGTATAGGCAAATTGAATGAAAAAATAATGTATTTTAACTTGATTCCTATTTTGGGTAACATGCTTTCAAAACTTCTATTTTGGTACATAAGATGTAAAGTTTTAAACATTTAAGTACTTGGATAACTGATTGAAGACTAATTTTGGATTAAAATATCCATGTCAGTAAACACGTCAGCAAATAATATTGAGTTGGATACCATATCACTTGTCGCATTAGCAAATAATACTGAGTTGGATACCACATCACTCTCCACATGATCATAATAACCAGTTAATGATTCAATTGGTTATTTGGGTACTTAAATGTTTAAAACTTTACATCTTAGGTACCAAAATGGAAGTTTTAAAAGTACGTTAACCCAAAATGGAAATCAAGTTAAACTACGTTACTTTTTCATGCAATATATTTGCCCTATATCTATACTATATTATAAAGCATTTGACAAAAACTCTTAAAAACCATTCTTTATGCATGAATTATGTGTATTAATGCATACTACTTAAAATCTAATATTACAAAGTAAATTGTGCATAAGCACAACTTATTAAAGCTCCATTTTTGAATTCATATAACTAACTGCAGATAAACATAATCATAAATACAGAATAAACATCTCATTTTAAATATAATAAATCTAAAATATAAATAGGATAATCATTGAGTTCTAACAGAATCATTATCTTTATAAAATTTAATTATTAAGCTAAAAATAAATTACTTCACTAAATCGTAAAAATATTATCTTTCTCAAAACCACATAAATCGTATTATATTAACAAAGACAAAAAATAAAACAAAACATTAAAATGAAGATATATCTCGCTGCATTGTACGAGTACTATTCTAGTTTATTAAAATGTATAATTCACAATCATAGAACACCTTAACGACGACTTATTGGAAAGGTTTCTGAAAAAGCTTTTCACCATTGTGGGAGGATCGGTTGGAGAAATATTAGGGTTGTAACTGCATGCACAAGCGACATGTATCGACTCTTGTTTATACTGTCTTTACGGTACCTTTTTATGAAGGAAATTAAGGAAAAAAAGGAAAAAAAAAGGAGGGAAAGTGAGACCAAATGTATATATATATATATATATATAGGGTTGGGTTCACGTGAGACCAAGGGTTTTTCGTAAGACCCGTAAGACCAATTTATGTTCATTGATCAACTTTATAAGCTAATGGTCTAAAGTGTATATATCATTTTAGAACTTGAAAAGTGTATTTTTTTGGAATAATTCAATGACAAAATTCATAAAATTATTAGTGCTAAAACTTCAAAATTGGAAGCTTAAAGAGTTCAGATATTTCTACAAATGGTCAAATTTGTACAAAAAAACCATTTTAAAATATCTGAATACTTTAAGAAATGATCAGAAATATTTTATATCTAAGTGTTTATAAGAATGCAGAAAAGAAAGTTTCGGATTTGACAAATATATTATTTGCCTAAGTTTGGAAAAGCAAACACAAATTTTCCATGAGTTCGGAAGCGTCTCAATGTCTTCATGATATATTTTCCAAAATGTGTCGGGATTCAATCTGTACATTTGAAATGGGCACGATCTAAACATCCACAACCAGACAAATCAGATTTTACAGTATGAATTATTACATATTTAATTTCAACGAACAAATATGAGGAAAGTTGAATCCTAAAACAATAAATGAATACTTTGATCATCAGTTTAGTATCAAACAATTAATTTGTACAATTTATTATCGTTGCAAATAATTATCGAGTTCTATGTTGATATTTCAGTTATAACTCATGTACGAGTGAAGACTTGTATCAAACGATTGTAGAAAGACACCGATGTTCTAACATAACAAAACACAATATTGGATATGCGAGTCTCGAGAGAAGAACCGAGTTTGGATGAACCATTTTGAATCTCGATGTTTCTATTATCTAATTCAAGACTTTCCTTAAATATTATTCTGTTTGAGTTGATAAATTGTTGAAAAACCGAAAACCTTGTGCCGAACAACATTTCCCCTAAGGTTGCACTATTTGACATAACGTCATAATAAGTTGTTAAAATAAAGTTAGATAATGTAACAAGTTATATTCTTAATTCCTTAATGATGAACCGACCACTTGGGTTGTGACGCACTGGTTAAGAGATTCCTAGGACGTAGTGGAAATCTCATCATCCCTGCACTACAGAACAAATGACGTTTACCGACAAAAACCTCCGGAGAAATTTCCGTTGATGGTTACTGGCGGATCACCCAGAAAATACAAATGGTTCTGGTGGAATCCGATGTTTTTCCAATAAAATACCAACGGATCACTCAGAAAATACATGGATAATCTATCACTGATTTGAGTTTCCACCACCAACTTTGTGACGGTTATGTGACGAATCACCCATTTAGTAATGGATTTCTCAGGGAAAAATCCGTAGGTAAAGTTTTTCCATTTCAATAGTGCTAATTTCGAATAAAACCGTTGCCAACATCTTTAGATATGACACTTCATTTTTTTGGTTCTATAAACTAAGTCTAATAAAAAGGTCTATTAAAACATTTATAATTTGGGAGTGTCATATAAACCCAATTTTATTGTAGTGTCTTATGATTAACATCAGATAAATCTTCTTATACAGATATTTTTCAGATAATATCATACAACACATAAAAAAAACCCAACTTTTAAGACCATATTTTTGTTTAAATTTCACATCCACAATTAAACAAATACATATGCAAATGGAAATTGTTTGTTAACACAAGAAAAGCATGAAACACCATAAATTCATGAAAAGGGGTTCCACACCAAACCCTACTCCTTTACACGTGTCACTTCACCAATGGTTCCTAGTGGGCCCCACATAACCCTACAATATAAGAACACTTCTTCATCGTCTAGGGTTTTCATCAACACTCCATCACCATCATTTCTTACAGACTTTTCAAAGCACCATTAAAAAACCCTAATCCAAGCTTTCATGGAAAGCACAGATTCATCGACATGCTCTCAATACCCTAATCTCCCACCTGGGTTTCGGTTTCATCCGACGGACGAAGAACTCGTCGTTTATTACTTGAAAAAGAAAGCTTCTTCGATCCCTTTGCCCGTTGCGATTATAGCGGAAGTTGATCTTTATAAGTTCGATCCATGGGAGCTTCCAAGTAATCGTTTAGAACAAATCTTGATCGACCAACTGTAAATCTTTTAATTACGAATATAATTTGACTCGTTTTCTTTCGTTTTTTTTGGATTGATTAGGTAAAGCTACGTTTGGCGATCAAGAATGGTATTTCTTTAGTCCACGAGATAGAAAATACCCGAATGGAACGAGACCAAACCGTGCAGCGACTTCGGGGTATTGGAAAGCTACAGGAACGGATAAGCCGATATTATCGTCAAGAGGAGATCAAAAGGTTGGTGTTAAAAAGGCGTTGGTTTTTTATGGCGGAAAGCCTCCGAAAGGGATTAAAACGAATTGGATCATGCATGAATATCGGCTTGTTGATAACGCTTCTTTTAAGTCTCCGATCGTCAATTTAGCAAACCGAAAGGGATCTTTACGGGTGCGTTTTATTTCATTTATTTGTATGTTTTATTTCAAGAACATACAAAAGTATTACGATTATCATTTGGTGCAGAATGATTAAGAGACTCAGTATGATTTAATGTCTTATAAAAAAGTATCATTTTACAATTATACCTTTCTATATAAAAGTATTACTGTAATTTTTTTTTAAAATATAATATTTATATACGACAAATGCAACAAATAAACTCACACATCCTTCTCACATTTGGTGAGGTTTGAACCTCTGACTTTCTAAGAAGCCAAGAAGGCAAGGACTACGATACTGCTAGGCCAAAAGCCATTTAGTAGTATTATGATAAGTTGGTATGATGCTTTTGGGCGTCCTATCATCCTATTTAGACTTATTTGGTGTCCTCTAAAACTGATTTTGTTGTAGTTAGTATTTCGTTATTCATTTTCTTTTATAATTTCACCGCGTTTTGATTAATTAATGTAGCTCGACGAATGGGTTCTATGTCGTATCTACAAGAAGAACAACGGGAGTAGACCGACAGAACGAGATACAACAGATCACCACGATTACATAGAAAACATGATGGCCGCTAATTCTTCAAAGGCGACAAACCCGAGCGGATCATTAATCGATCATCAAGAAACGTCGTCGTTCTTCGAAATCTTGAACAACGAAGATGGATCAAGAATCCAACAAACCAACGACTCCATAATATCGAAGCTGGCTTCTTCAAGTTCTTCATTGAAATCCATGGTTTTTAACCCTAAGAAACGTTCGTTTCCAACAACTCATTACTGGAATCTTGATTCCACTGAGAAAAGGTTCAATTCCGAAGATGAGATGAATGGAATGATGGATGGAAGTGGTTCATTCGTGTCTTTGTTGAATCCGATTCAGCAAGCTGGGATTGGTGGATTCCATCCAAATACAGTATTGGGTTCAATTGGTGATTCTGCTTTTGGTTATCAACTTTCATCGGGGAATTGGAATACTTGATCATAATTAGTTACGGTTTTGATTTTATTTTTTTGGTTGGATAATTAAGGGGTTAATAATACATGATATACATAGTCTCTTTAGAGAAAAAATATTACCATATATACTTTTATATATATATAGTGTATATATATATATAGAGAGAGAGAGAGGGTGAGTTATTATGCAACTCTTTACATTTGTACAATCAGTACAACTCAATCTCAACCGTTCATTTAATTTGATGAATATATGATTTCATAGAAGTTCTGATTGTTTTCTAATATAAAGTATTGATCATAATTAATGAACTTTAGTAATCTTCAATAAATATTCAAATTATAATGAATGAACTATTATTATTTTTATAAATATCTCAATTGATCGGGTTGCATTGGTTGTACAAATGTGATGAGTTGCATTTGAAACATTATCTCTCTCTCTCTCTCTCTCTCTCTCTCTCTCTATATATATATATATATATGAATTGTGTAAAATAACCAATCATAATTTTTTATTTTTTTGTAATAAAGAGGGTTAAGATAAGAAGCGTAAGAATGGATCTCTACACTTGGATGCACATTAGAATAAGATGTACCAGATCAATCCTCGTATCAAGCGCGATTCGTAGGTGGGTTTGAGATTAAAAGTGATCAAGGATCCAGATCTCTTCTGCTTCTCACATGATCTTTAGTCATATAAGGAATAGTTCAAACGAAAACACATTCATTTTATTAAAACACGAGAACATTTTTTTATTATAGTTAACCACATATGATACATATATGTGATACTAAATTAGAAACTCGAACGACTTTTGGCACGACCTAAGTCACGGGCCAAGTCGGTCACAGACTATAGCTCGCATCACATGTATTCCCACATTAGATAAGAGAGTTCTTGATGTGATACTATCATCTATCACATGTAGTATTAAATCAGAGACGCAGACGACCTTTGATGCGACATAGATAGTGGGAAGTCGTATGCACACCACCACGTCCCTCACATGTATATCATATGTGATAAGGGTGTTCTTACGTTCTTGTAAAACGGATGTTTCTCATTTAAACCTCCACACATACACACACACATAGGGTCAAGTTCAGGGGAAACCATAAAAAAATAAAAAAAACTGAGGAACCCCCTGATAATAATTCATTTGGACGTTATGCATATGCATATACAAGTATTTGTAAGGAATTTGTCTGGTATGCACATGTGTATAACATGTATATGTGCATAGAAACCAAGAAACCATTTCAATTACTTGAATGATTATAGATGAATGATTCAAGAAACCACGGTATGCACATATGCATATCATACAAATGAAAGATTACTAGAGTGTTACTCAGTTTTTCATTTTTTGGGTGGTTTTCCCCTAAACCTGCTCCTCTCTACACACACATATATATAATGAGATAATGAAATGAGAACCTTAAAAATGTTGGCTACTATGAGAATCAGTCAAACATATATGAATTGATAGTGTTAAACATGCATATTTTGTTTAGTTTCACATTGTGAAATAATATACATGTAAAAATGATACATATATATATAAGTTTTACAATATGAAAAATAATACATCATACATGTGAATTTCACCGGGCCTTTATATTTTTGAGTTTCTTATATGATTGTGTTATGCCCTGTGTATGTATATATGTGTATATACTTGTATATGTAGTATGATATCCAAATAAGAAGACTAAATATCAAAAAAATGAAATATTCATATGTGAATCATTGAAAAAAATTCATTTTTCAATTGAAATTATAGATTATTCAAATGAGTTCACATATACATCATCAAATGATTTTTTTTTAATAATTCACATATAAATATTCCTTTCTTATATATCTTTTCACGATATTCATTTTTCTTATTTGAACCGACACCTCATATATATATATATATATATATATATATATATATATATATATATAAAACTTATGGTGATGGTGTAGACTTAATTTGAGAGGTTGCTTCTAAAGATAGCATTCTTCTTTTTAAATATTATTAGCATTTATAGGAATAATGTTGCAATGACCACCAAATATAAATTTCATGGTATTATTTATTTAGTTTTTATTCATTTAATTATTGTTTAATTAAAAGTCAAATTAGAGGTTGGTGAATCAACCCACAATTAAATTAACTTATTAACTTAATTAAGGCATGGAAATATCCAATCTAATTTTCTAATTTTTAATTTTAATTAAGGGGTGACATAAGATTATATTCTCCTGTCAATTTTTAATAATATTTTAATATCATATATATATCTATATATATTTTAATATAATTTTTAATAATATTTTTAATTTTCTAATTTTTCTTATTTGAACCGACACCTCATTCAATGAATCATAATTTTTCATTTTGTTCATTTTTTTTTTGTAATTATGATAGGTTGATTAACCATTTTTATTGTGGAGGGTGTTAATCATGGATATTATATCTTCATTATTTTAATTTTAGAGAAATAAATAAAACAGTTTAATTAAAATTTCATTAAATATTATATGAAACAATTTCATAACCATATATGAAACAAATTCATCAAAAAAGTATTATATGAAACAATTTCACAAGATTAAACAATTTCATGAAAAAATTTCATAAGATTAAACAATGGAATCAACGTATGAGGGTGGTTTGTACGGTTTTTACAAATGAAGGTGGTTTTCATTTGATCACTCATCTCTCTCTCTCTATATATATATACATATATATATATGTAATCCAAAATGATATATTCAACTATCTACAATATTTTTACAGGGAAAATTACATAAAAAGGTTATGTACTTTAATGTGATTCCTATTTCGGGTAACGTATTTTCAAAACTTTTATTTTGGTATCTAAGATGTAAAGTTTTAAACATTTAAGTACCCAGATAACTGGTTGAAACTTTAACCGGTTACCATGATGATGTGGCGAGTGATATGGTATCCAACTCAATATTATTTGCTGAATCATTAACCGAATACCACATCACTCGCCACATCAGCATGGTAACAGGTTAATGCTTCAACTAGTTACCTGAGTACTTAAATGTCTAAACATCATAATAGGATACCTTATAAGACTCAAGTTTATGGGATCAAACTATAAAGTATCATATTTAAAAGTGTTTTAATATGTTTATATGACGCTTTTGAGCGTTTAACAAGTTTTTTTTGGAATGCTTTTAAAATAAAGTGTCGTGCCTGAAGCTTCGATTTGGAGGGTTGGGCTGGAGCTCCATACCAAAATATTCCATACTTTCGTGCATAAATTAACTATTTTATAAGACACTTTTGAGAAGTATATATATATATATATATATATATATATA